TAAAACTGCACATTTTAGAGTGGCCTTTTATTGTGGCCAGCCTAAGGCACACCTGTGCAATAATCACGCTGTCTAATCAGCATCTTGATATGCCACACCTGTGAGGTGGATGGATTATCTCGGCAAAGGAGAAGTGCTCACTAACACAGATTTAGACAGATTTGTGAACAAAATTTGAGAGTAATAGGCCTTTTGTGTACATAGAAAAAGTCTTAGATCTTTGAGTTCAACGCATGAAAAATGGGGGCAAAAACAAAAGTGTTGCTTTTATAATTTATTCAGTGTAGTTAATATCAGTAATATGCAGCGTGCACGATACAAGGAAATTGTCAGTAACATCATCACTTTGAGGTACAATATCTATATCAGTAAGATCAATTCCATGCGATATAATTAAATCTAGCGTATGATTAAAACGATGAGTGGGCCCGGTGACATTTTGCTTGACTCCAAAAGAGTTTATTAGGTCAGTAAACGCAAGTCCTAATGCATCATTTGTATTATCATTGTGAATGTTAAAATCTTCGACAATTAGTGCTTTATCAACAGTAACCAATAGGTCTGAGAGGAAATCTGCTAATTATTTTAGGAAATCTGTATACGGCCCTGGTGGTCTATACACAGTAGCCAGGGCAAGAGATACGATAGATTTATTTTGCATATCTGACAGTGTAGCATTAAGCAGAAGTATTTCGAATTCGAATTCGAATAGAATATCACTATATATTGTTGCAACACCTTACTTAACTGCAGACATGGAAATGATGTACAGGATGTGGTACAGTACAAATATTTTGAGCATCCCTTATTCTGTGCCTTATTTTCCAATAAAGAATCACAATTATCCCTTATTTTCCTTTATGGCATGATGCCATTGGCATCCCTAGTTATTTTGTTAGGAAAAGTTTAAATTGTGTGAAGTTTTTAACTACTGTTTTAACTACTTGGTACATGGAAATGATGTACAGGATGTGGTACAGTACAAATATTTTGAGCATCCCTTATTCTGTCCCACAATTATCCCTTATTTTCCTTTATGATATCCCTAGTTATATTGTTAGGAAGAGTTTAAAGGGGTTACTTTTACAAACTGTTTGAACATAAATGTGTGTTGGCAGTGTATGTACACAACCACCTTATAATGATAAAAATCCACCCAATGTTTTTTTTTATCTACTAAAATCTTTACCCCTTTCTCAAATCAAGCCGTTCTCAGCTTCTTGTCTGTGTGATGTCACACAGACCCAGGCCCTCCCACGATAGTTGATTGACACTACCGTTTCAGCACAGCCTGGACTGGTGTCTTACCTTAGACCCACCCTGAGTGAGCTCAGCTGTCATTGGTCCACCATTGTTTCACCGCCGGAGCAGATGTAGACAAGAATGACTCCTAAGCAATTGAGGTGTTCTGTTGTTGGATGTAATAATGAACATAGCAGTTATCATTTACTCCCGACATCTGAGCCGCTGAAGACGCAGTGGATTACGTTTGTTTTGAAAGGGAATGCACCCCCGATCTACTTAAATATGTTTATGTTGACGCGAATCATTCATAATCTAGCTTCACAGAAGAAGTGAGTATACAGTTTCTTTATGGATCTTTGCAAATCACCTCTCCTAATAGCGTGCTAGTTAGCAAGTTTCATGATGAATGTGGCTAAAGTTTACCGTCTCTCGGAGAGCGGCTTGGAAGTGAGGGGCGGGGTAGAGCAGAGCTCATTTGCATTTAAAGCAGCATGTGAGAAAACTGCTTGCTCTGAAAAGAGCTGTTTTTGACAGGGTAAAAACGATGTTGTTTTACACTACAATTGAGAAATTTTAACCACAGTATGTTATAGAATTTTCATTAAGACCCTAAATAATCATATCAACTTGGAGAATGGGCATCCGATGACCACGTTAAATTGTGTGACTTTTTAACTACCGCTTTAACTACGTGGTCTGTATTTAATTAATTTTTAAATAAAATGAGCAAAACACTCTTTGTGGTGAAAGGAGCATTGCCATAAGATGATCTTGAGGCTTACTACTGAGTATTTTTTAACATTAACAACATGCATACATCAATAAAACAATTAAAGTTATTAAAAACAATCAACATGTAGTAAGAAACACAACAAGAAAGCTGGATGAACTAGTTTTGTTTCTGATTTAGTTTGTAGATACTGCACTTTGCTTTTCAGTAATGTTTAAGTTGTGTAAGGCCATCCAATGTCAGAGTGCAGTATCTGCATTTTGGTGGTCAAAGGTCACATCAGTGGTCATGGTTTTTATCTATAAAAACAATTCATCCTAAAAAGGCTTTAACTGAATGCATTGCCACTAATCTAGCCACAACACGTTTGACTGGCTGTTGTAAAAACTTTAAAGTCATTTTTCTCAGTTTCAGTGTTTGCATAGTTACTGCACTTTGCCTTTGTAGGGCAGCATAGTCTAATGCTCTTTTCACATAATTAAACATTCTCTGATC